CACTGCAGCCAAGACTGCCCGAGAGTTTCACATTCCCCTCCAGCCCTTCGTTGTTGATGAGAACAAGGTCCAGCATAGCACCTCTCCTCGTCGGTTCCTCGACCACTTAGAGAACGAAATTGTCCTCCACGCATTTCAGGAATCACCTGGATTTTTTGTGCCCTGCTGTGTTCTCTCTCCAACAGATATCGGGGTGGTTGAAATCCCCGATGAGGACCAGGGCTTGTGTACATGAGGCTGCTCCTATCTGCCCATAGATGGCCTCATCTGCTCAGGCTGCCTGGTCTGGCGGCCTGTAGCAGACCCCGCTGTAACATCCCCTTTCCCTGCTTTCCCTTTAATCCTGACCCATAGACTCTCAGTTAGCTCCTCATCCATCCCCAGGTGGAGCTCCATACACTCCAGCTGATTTTGACTTTTAACTTCTAAAAACTGAGTCTCTTGTAGAAGAGGGTTTATCTCTCTGACCCACTGAGGCATCCTATAATGTCTAGGTATATTTATTGATCAAAACAAATCAAATCTGCATCAATGTATTTTGTAATGTAAGCTTTTCTATACTGTCTATATGGGAACCTTACAGATACTACAAAATAAGTAAGCAAAATTGTTTCCTGCATGCAAGAGAATTATTTAGTATAAAAAAAAAGGAGAAAAACAGAACTTCCAAGGACCCTGTGTAGGTGCAAAATTATTCCCTTTGTCTGACTCTGTGAGAGAAGAGGGTTTTGGGTTTGCCCCCCCAGTATTCAAAACCTAGAGCTAATGAGATCAATTAAATTTGGCAAACAACATATAAGCTGGTGTTGCTTGTACTGCAGCTTCTGCTTCATTTAAACACTGTTTGGACGGTGTGAACCATCTGTTAACGAGGCTAGAGGCCGTCATAAAGGCTGCGATGCCCAGCGTAGTTCGGGACTAGCAAACGCCTTTTCAAAGGTCTATCGAAACCTGACAGCCCTCTCTTGTGCCAGGAGGTTGAGTGTCCAATGGGATACAGCAAAATTGTTTTGTCTGGACAACGTGTATTTCCCTGCCTTTGTGAAATACTGCAACTAGAGCAAGTTTTATTTACAAGAGTATTGACTTTCTTCTGAAGAGTAATATGAAATTCATTATTCATAATTTTCTTACCGTTCATGACTGGGTTGCGGAGGCTGATGTTTTTCCAAAGATTCTTACTTCCCTTTGTACACAACAAGGAAAAATCCTGCTTGGGCTCTCAGAGGATAAATTTGGCCTTATTGACATTCAGGCATCAGGATTGCAGAGACTGTACAGCAAACCCCAGCCTAACCCGAAACAACCCATTTGCTTCCGTCCTCTGTTGACAGGCAGGTCCAACTTTCCCTCACCTTCAGCACAACTAAGTGACAGACTCACACTCTGGGTTCAGCAAGATGTACCGAATCAGATCCAAAACCAGCTTACCCCTTGGGAGTGAGGTCTTTAAAGATTTTTGAAAGCTTACCTCTTGGAACTGCATTAAGATTGTTTCTTTCAACTGACAATACTTTCAAAGCAGGCAGGGGACAACAGCCTTCTCCATACTTTTTAGACCCCTGTGCAGGTGTAGCTATGTCCAGTGCAAAGGTGTGGATGGCATTACCATCGAGGTTTAGAGTTTCTAAAACGGGTAAATTTCTGCAGGTAGTTAAGGAGAGTTCAGAAATCAGGTTGTTACTGAGATTCAGGTGTTTCAGCATCCATGTTTCATTTCTTCCATCCGTGCACAGAAAAGTTTTAATATTATTGTAACTAAAATCAGCCGTTACTGCTGTTTGTGACACATCTTCTGGAACAGCAGATATTCCAGTAAAAGAACAATTCACTGAGAACTCCCCATCCCACCGGCAGTCTGAGCCGTGATGTGTATCAAGAAGAAGCTGCTGGGACTTGGTTCCCACTGATCCAAGAAGATTAGTGTAAAGGACCACAGCTATGACACTCAAGTGAAGGTTATCCATGGTATCTGTATGTACAATGTAAAATGACGGTCAAGTTCAGCATAACAAGAGTTAAATAGAAAGCGGAAATACTTTGACATTAAAAACCAAAATCAACACAAAACAAATACACAGAGCATTACCAACATTTTGCCTTAAAACATCCAGTTTTGGAGCCTTAGGTATGTTTCAGAAAGAACATTCACAAACTGGTAACCTTCCCCCTCCCTCCACCTCTCCCAAGAAACAATCCGAACCTTTTCTTTCTTTTCCAGCCCTTCGGTTGAGAAACACAGCTTCTCAGGAACTCCTGAACTAACAACAGTGGAGACTTTTGAACTCTACTTCAGGTATCATACACAATCAACACTGAGCAAAGTCCACCAGATACAATCCATGACGAATAGATGTGGAATGATTTTCATACTTACAGTTAATAGAATACTAGTTTCCCTCTCAATAACACAACAACGGATTTTTAATGAAAAACTATATTCTTACAAATAACACTTCTGAACCACAGCTGCATTTTAGAATTTATTGTTTCATTTCAAAACAAAGATTAGAAATTCAATTGTCTTTCATCTATTGAAACAACCACCACCTTTATACATGCGGAGAACTCCTGACATGTAAGTTGTTTCAGTGTAACCAGTACGGTATTTTACAGAGGCATGTAGAATGTACTTTAAACACACTGAATCTTAAGTGCATCTGTGGGATTGAAATAAACAATGTGCCACACAATGCTTGAAATACAGACAGAAAAACGTACCTTAGGCAGTTAGAAGATAAACGACAAATAAACGCACAACACAGGCCATGTGTGGTGCCAACACTTCTCAAACTGTGTAGTGAAAGCAACGTAATAAATTAACAACACATAAATAGTGGCTACCAAACTGATAATTTATTGCGTTTGGTATTTGTATGATCGGTTTTGCTACATTTTGACAACAGATACACACTTCAAACCCGATTCTCCAGACCACAATTTAAGAGTACCTTTGTGACAGATCTTTCAGCTATGCTGAATACAGTATTTTAAACAGAACTCTTGAGAATTACAAGAATCCAATACTAGCATATAGGCACCTCAGCATTAACCAAAGAGCTTTAATATGCTCTTTGTGTGTTATCTACTTGACCAAGGCAGTATTTCTCGTTTTCAAGATCTATTTCAGCTTCAGGGATACTGCTGTTTGTATTTTTATACCTATGTTCTGTATTTTTTTATATATATATATCTATATCTATAAAAAACAATAAAGTGACAAACTTCCATTAGCATGGGTGAAAATTCTGAAAATGTTAATTTCCTCCTATTAACAGCAAAGATGTGTGCACATTTTCAGCAAAATGTGTGTTGAAGCGGTTAATAAATACTAACTGTAGTAAAACTATGAAGTCCATGAAGGCAGTATGTAAAATGTCAGTACTTTCCCACAGTCTTTAATGTGAGCCATTCAATGGCTTTTGCTACATTTCATTCTATTAATTCTGTTTTAGTCAGAACAGCTCCACTGCTGTTCCCTCCTGAACCCCAACAACTACTGAGCAGCACAATCTGGCTTTGCCTTAGAGCAACAAAAGAAACGTGACCGCTCTGACCTCCCATGTGCCATACTGCCCGACCTAAGGATCCTCCTCTAGGAACCACTGCCACTCACACACATCCTGCGCGAGGACTTACTGACTTCTAGTAAATATAGCAACTGGGACTTGAGATACGAAGTTCTTGTTGCAGCAGGAGCTGATTTATATTTTGTGGAATTCTATGCACTGTGAGAGCTATAAAACAAGGGTAGTTTAACTTCCCATAACAAATGACCAATTCTTAAGTTAATGTGTAACATTTGCACAACTTCTAGGAAGAGAAGTGTTTGCTTATCTAGAAAAGCTATTGTTAAAAAACTATTTCCAAAGTCACCTTTGTGGCCTCCACTATTAAGGTTACTTGATGCTACTGCAAAACAAAACTATTTTGAACTGAAGTGAACACCTGGGGAAGGAGGAGTGGGAAACTTATAACAAGCTGGTCTATTTTTAGTACAGAACACCTTACCTCTGCAAAAGCAGTTACAGGGCTATAAGAGCTTCTGTAAGGCCCCCAGTTCACCACAGACACAGTTTCACTGCTGACAAATTCAGATACACATGTATTTACTCTGCTGTCATAGGATTCCATACCATCACGTTTAGAATTGCAGACCTGCAGTTTAACTTCAGAATTTAATTCTGAGGTTCTCAATAATGCATCAGTACTGACATTTATGGGGAAAGAGAGATCTGATCTCAAACCCTGCTGCTTACAGCCATGCTCCAGATTATTAGCCCTTGAATAATGAATTCATACGCTGTTCACATTAAAGCACTCAGGAAAATACTTTTTTTGGGTAGTGAGCAAGTTGTTAAGTACATCTTTTAAAATGTACTTCTAATACGAACACATTTTATAAATACTTCACATAAATTAAGCAACTGTAAAATCCCTAAACTGCACAGACAGAATGGGAGCTCAAGCAACACCTCAGTAATCGCACGACTATTTCAAAATTGAAGGTACATTACCACACTTGATATTAATTTGCAAATATTATTTGTGCTAGCATAGTTTTTTAAATACATGAGAATATACGTGAGAAATAACACAATATTTAAACTGAATCTTCCATTACCCCTTGCTTGGTACAAATATGGTAAACCACATAATTTTGGGGGAAAGTCATGATATCAACCTTTGGCAGAAATAAAGACAAAAAATTTGCTGCTTCAGCCATCCTAGGCAAATCCACTTCCAACAAATTGACATTCCTGTTGAAGCACTTCAGATCACAGCTGTGTTCTCAGCAGCCCTCAAGCCCTTGGGATGTAGGACAAAAACTTCTAAAGGCAACTGAAGGCAGTCAAGATTGTTGCTAAGATCACATTCTTTAAATGGATTCCACTGATCCCAATTCAGGAAGGTACTTCACTATGCAGGCAGACTGAAAGCTTACTAAATCAGAGCCACTATTATGGCTAACAGGATGATGACATAATACTGCTGAACGTAACAGCCTTTGCTTAAAAATATTATGTAATAAATGTTAGTACAAACTGCTGTAGAAACAGAAATCCTTGAAGGCATGCAACTATTTCATACAAATATATGTAAACACAAAAGAGAACTCTCCTGGGTAGTGGTCTGTGTTTCAGTGCGTGGCTCCACACGGATTGACAGAAGTCTGACAACCCATGTTATAACCTGTGACCTGAACCTTGAACAGTGTCCCATCCGCACACATACAGAGCTTGAAACGCAGCCAGTTGCCGTTATTAAACTGTTCCCCGTAAGAAGAACTTGGCAGTCGCGATGGGCTGACCATCACCGTTCCGTTCAGGATAATACTGTTTTCCTATTAAGAGGGAGAAAAAAAAGTACAACTTCTGATTTAAACAAGGCAGGTTGTTTTTGAAAAGGACAAGCTGGTTTAATGAATCATCTTTAGAATGGCTGTAGAAATCAACAGAATAAAAAAAGTACATATGACAAGGTTTCGTTTTTTAATTAAATTTGTGAGTAACACCCATGAAATTCTCAATTACAGCCAGAAATGTACTTTGCTATTTAAGTGGTAGACCGATATTGAGAGAGACAGCAGCAGTGTGGCTTTTCACTTGACAGACCTATTAGCAAAGGCAGTAAATCTAAAAATGCATACGTGAAATGGGAATCGGTGTTTGAATTGACACATGAAATGCATTCACACATTAAATGAAAGTGCATCTCTTTTTTTATCCTCGTTTAACCTTTTCCATCATTCTACACGCTCTGCAATCTTAACAATGTCCAATAATCTTAAATGAATGCAGGTGAGTCTTGCTGTGGCAGCACAGAAGGTTGTGCTCCTATTGGTACATTCTCCTCCTCTGTCAAAGGTTGCTGTCCCCAGTAAAACCTCCAGAAGAGAAGATGAATTCCCTTTGGCATGCACTGCAGTGCAGAGGCCAACAGCTTAGCTTTAATCGCATTGTGGGTTTATAGTGTCTTCACAGTAGTAAATCATTGTTACCTGAGAACTACTGCAAAGTAATAATCCACCTTTTAAAAACTTTATTAAAGACACTGACCACAACTAAGCTTTTCTGCATAATTGCTTTATATAAAATATGAACCCACATAAAGGTACATCAGTTTATTATCAGCTTGAAAGTGAAACTAAGCTGTTAAAAAAAATGCTGATTTGAAATACTTACTGCTTTAAGTTCCATGTTACCCCCCATCCGAAACTCAATGGTCTTGCCTGTGATAAAAACACCTTCGTTTCCACGGACAATAGCACGGCCATCAACCTTTATATTTAGATCACTGGTTGCATTGCTGGTAATCTAAGAACATCACCAAAAAAAAGTGCATCAATGAAAATGTGCTGCTTGGGTTTGTCTGAGTAACTTTAATTACATTAAAAATACTGCTACACAATTTAATAAAAACCTTCAAGGCATTTTTTGCCCTTCTGCCATTATGTGTATGAAGCTTCTGCCCATTTCCACAGTCACATCTGAAACAAGGATTACTTAATTTTGGAAGGTATGTAAAATAGTTTATATGTTGTTTGTGATAAAAATAACAATTAATATGACAATTGTATGAGATACACAGTTAACGCTGGTACCAAATACAGGCTTCCTGTTAGGAGTCACTACGTAAACTTACTCCTCTGTTCTCAATTAATCTGTTCCTCCTATGTATTTAAAGTTTTAGTGGGTTTGTTTTGTTTTGTTTTGTTTTTTTTCTATAGCATACTACTTAATTGTTAGCCTGCAGAGGAAACACAAAAAAGAGCAAACTAAATTATCTTTTTTGTTTGTCTTTAACAGGATTGTTCAATGCTTCCTAAGGCACACTCAGCCCTCTACAAACCCACTGACACTATTCTACTGATGTTATACAAAAGAATTAGAGGCTGTACTCTATTATAAAAGTGATGATATGCAAGAAAGACATTTCAGTCAATCCTTAAGATCAACATTTTAAATGTACATACACCATTATTTAAGTTTTTTACTTTTCTGATAAAGCATATTTAATGTAGAAACCAACTAAGAACTTGTTTAACCTAGAAGTCATGAACTGACATAACTCCTATAATGCTGTGCTTGTTCTCTACACTTTTACTCAGACTTCTGAAATTCTGATTGTACTAACATTTATCTCCAATAGAAGGGAAATGATACATGAAGTTCTGGTAATTATTTTTGTAAGTTCCTACTAGAAACAGAGAAGCTTTTCAGAGAAGTTTTATTTCTCAAACAGTCACCTAGGCACAAACAAATGGATAAATGCTTAATAAAAAGACACACAGGCCTACTTGGCATGGTATTCTGGATATTACACTCATTTAATGGTGTCAGTTTTCACTTCTGCTCTAATTTTTAGGGTGATTTACGTTTTCAGAGCTGCATTTTTGGCTACATTCAGTCAAATTTCTAAATATGCTTGAAAGATCATATTAGTAAACTTTTTTCTTATTCTACAACTCTGGCAGTTCTGTAATGCGCTTTTACAAACAGTAACAGGCAGTTAAAAGAGACCTACCCTCTCTGTAGAGGCCTTTTGTACGTTCAAGATTTTAACTCCATTTGGAAGATGAAACTCATGAGTTTCGTAGTCTGTGCTGAACAAGGTATTTTGTGTCCGTGGGTCAACAAACTCCATGCCAATATCGCTGGTAATAGAAGTTTTGTCTTTTTCCACACTAAGCTTGGTCGTTCCTTGCTGAAATACAATCTGTAGAGAAAAAGTCATTGGGTTAATGATGTTTCAAATACAATGTTTATTAATAATGTGAGTGTAATTCCATAGCATTGCCTAAAAACTCTCAATTAATGATGTAACTTACGGGCTGATTATTTCCAGTGATCACCAAATCTTCATTACGTCTGCCTCCTACAGTGCTTTTGTATAACGGATGTATAACGCCCATGTCAGAAACTTGCTTAAACCGCAACAAGCCACTCTCGTGGAACTCCATACTGTCACAGCCATTGGGACCGATTCGAATCACTGCCCAGATAACCAGTGTAATCTGAAAGAGAAACACACATTTTCAAAGATCACTTTGATTGTTTGGATCTTCCCACAACAGGTATTGCATTAACTGGATGTTTTATTTGAAAGAATTATTGATGACAGTATTGAAGTGAGCTTTAGGTGTGAATTTACTTTAGTCTGTTTAATTCCTACTGGAAATATCAGAACAAGTTTAATTATGAAAAGCATTTAACATGATTTTTAGACTCATCTGAAATGGTAAGAAATAATTTACAAATTATAAATATAGTTATACATTTGAAATTAAATTGCATCCATAATTAAAACTTTTTTCCTGTTTAAGGGTAACCATGGTATCACTAGCTAAACAAATTTCTTGAACAGAGCAGCTCAGCTCAGGATATACTCTGCCCTTGAACTACAAGAAAGCACCTTCACAGGTGGAAGTCCAATTATGAAAAGTAATTCACTACTTCTCATTCATCAAGCAATAAAAAGGTGGTAGTTACAACAATGAAGGTTTAAAGTGCAGGGGCTGATTAATTCTGAATGCTCACGTGCTGCTCTTGTTATTTACACGTTCCTGGCATAACAGTTTATCCTGAAAGTATTTGTACTGCGCTAGTAACACTTCGCACGTTTGCTGCTACTGAGTTTTGGGAATGGAGAGACACTTTCAAGGTTCCTAATTCTGTGTTGCATAAATGGTAAGTTCCTTGCTGAGACCATGATAACTGAAATAATAATGACTGAACTTATAAGATTCTTCCATCTCATCTTGCTCACACCTCAAAAGAACAAAAAAACAAAGGAGAAAAATGAGAAATCCCCTTCAGTACATTTTAAGTCCTCCTCAGCCATACTGGAGTAAGTTTTATTTCTCTAGTAAACCATCTAAATTAAATACATCCTAGCGTTGTTTACAGCCCAAGTATTATACTCACAATAAGATTGATGACAGCCAAAATGAAAAGAAGAACAATCACACAAATGGCTAAGTTGCCTTTCCTGCCACGTAAGCCTGTCTTATGAAGACGGTCTTCATCGATGGGAATGTATCCCGCTTTAAAGTTACTGTTGTGCTCTTTATTAATGTTCCTGCGTTCCACGGCCTTCTCTCGCATAGACTTCTTCACCGGGCCGTTAGAACTTTGCTGTAACACAAAGCATGGAATAGCTGTTATAAGGCATGTAAATCCACCAGAATGATACACATATATGTATGGAAAAAACTATACATTGGAATTGACTAGTGGAATATATTACATATTCTATTCAATATTATATGTCAGTCTGCCCCTCTGCGCTTAGAATACACATTTACACCACTGCAATCTCTCCTAATGTTATGACTATAATTAAACCCCAGATATTTTCAGACAATATATGTTTTATATGTAACTTTTATCACAGCAGGAAAAAAATATTAATGATATAGTTGCAGTATAAAAAAATCAGCTGTAAAGAACTTAATCAAGTTTTTACCTCTTGGGGATGACACAGGACATAATCCTGCATCATTTACCAATACATGGGATTTTAGTTCCCTCCACACTAGTGTGGGATAGACTCTCAATCAATCTATCCAAAAGGAGTGTGGTGGATACAGTTTTAAAGTTACTTTGACAGCACAGGGTTTGCATTCAACTTCTGTTACTTGTATGCAGCATTAAGAAAAATACTGTAAGGCTTGAAACCTGGCATGGGGAATTGGCTAGCCTAGCTTTAATTTAATAGTTTGAAGTGACTAGATTGGAAGAGATATCCTTTCAATGTGACAAGTTAACATGTAGAGGAAACTGTTGCAGATATTCATAGGAAGAAAAACCCTTTGATGTATTTTCATAACTTTGTCCAAATGTTTTTCACCTCCTGTGGTGGTTTCACTTGGCTGGCAGCCAAACACAGCCATTCGCTCACTCCCCGCACCCCAGGGGACAGGGGTCAGAATTGGGGGCAAGGGTAAGGAGACTCGTAGGTTGAGGTAAGAACAATTTAATAATTGAAACAAAATAAAACATAATACTGACATTAAAATGATGATATTAACAGTAATAAAATGTGCAATTGCCCACCACCTGACAACCAAGCCCGGCCCATTCCCAGATAACGATCCCAGAGGAGCGACAATACCAAACTGAAACCGCAATCCCAGAAGAGTGAGAGCCCAAGAAAAAGTCAGAGAGGGAGCAAGAGAGGAAGAGCCCCTCACTAATATACTGGACATGGCGTGATATGATTGAGCATATCCAAATGACACTCTAGCTTATTAATTTAAAATTCCTTGCCCTCCTCGACCTTTGCACTTGCAGACTAGCAAAACACGACAGCCTTCGACTTCCAGCGACAATTGAAAACATTGGTATGTTATCATGTTCTTCTCATAACAGACCCCATGTTGAAACCAAAACACAGCGCTATTCTTGCTGCTAAAAAGAAACCCAGCTCTGTCCCAGGTAAAAACCAGGACACCTCCCTTGAATGGGGCAGGTTGCTACTTAAGGGTTTAATTCTTTAAAGAAGAGGCTTGATCTTTTTGATGGGATTCGGTTTGCTCATCTGAAACGAATGCTGAAACTGCACCTTAAACTTAGGGCACTTGTGTCTGCACTGATACAGCGGCTCAGCGCTGGGAAGCCCCGGGGAGATGCCGGAGCGCTCACACCGCTCCGGTCTT